AAACGGAGTGTTTGAACTGCGTGGTGAGGAGCAGACAATAATAATATAATCAATTAACTCTCTTATCTGCGCGCGGTGCGTCGACCCGCGGAGCGCTGCGGGCCACGCTTCCCTTATCGCTGCACATGCCTCTTTGTTCATCCTCTCGTTTCGATGCGTGAAATCTCTATTATTACAAGTCCACAAAAACTCAGTCTGAAAATTAAATTTAAATTACTTATGTGTGTTTTTGTCGCGATTTTATTAGATTATATGATTTGCATTTTTAAACAATTAAAACTAGTAGCTATACAGTCTTTTAACCTCTCATTTTATTTATGTTATAGTCACCTACAGCGAAAGGTCGTTTATAACCCAGTCGCCGTTTGAATGACTGTATCTTAAATACTGGAGTTGAGTTTCAATGAAGCCTTTAGTGACCTCAACCAAAAAAAATCGTGCAGTACTTTCGAAGGTCGGTTGTGCATACAAACAACTATGAAATTAGATTAATTCAAATTTAAAATACTTTTTTTAAGTATGGTACATCACTCCAATTCAGTTTTTGATATTTTAGATATTGTCACCGTCTTGAATTAAGGCTTATAACTATTTTTTATTCAAGTTATTGCATACTTTTGTATGTCAATGGAAGAATTGTCTTAAGGACATTCGCAGATTGCTTTAGTATTAGATCAATGCCTGTTTTATTATGTTGCTAAGAAGACGTTAAGTATTGAATTTATGTTATAATAACGAGCATTAACTGTAAAAAATACCTGAAAAACTTGTTTCGGTGCGTTGAAATCAAAATTTTCCTTTGCATGCCCGGTTGAACGCGGTCGTCTTTTTGTGCAACTAAAACCTCGTTTAAATTATTCATAAAGGTTTAAATACGTCACTTGCTATACATAAATAAATAAAAAAATAAACTTGCTATACAACAAATAATTAATATTGTTATAATACTAGTCAACCTCTTTAAAAATATCATATAACGCTTAAAAACCCAAAGTCAAGTGAAAATTACAATTGTTCTAGAATTTCTTAAGCACTCGTACATTATGAATGGCAACCGAAGTAGGTAAGTATGTATATTGAAGTACAATTAAATAAAAAAAAAAGAATAATTGTATTACTGTTTTTTTTGGTAAACTCGTTACTAGGCCCTAGATGTTACTATAACTACCCTAAATAAGTATGTCTGTAGTTGCGAGTGCATGCATTTAAATAAAATACTTTTAACAGTTAAATAAAACACTTTAACGGTTTAAAACGCGATATATTAGTTATTTTTAACGGTTTAAAGCGCGATATATTAGTTAGCTATAGACAGTATTTACTTTTAACAGGTTAAAACGCGAAATTAGTACTTCACTTATTTTACTACTTACTTACTTACTACTTACTTTGCCGCTACTGTGGTCATGGGGTGACCGTAATTAAAAATAATTTGAATACTAATTTCGCATTTTAATCCGTTAAAAGTGCTTTATTCAATACCTTAAGTAAACTATTATATTTCATAATTTAAATCGTAAACGGTTTTATTAAACGTTCGGTAAACTATAGAAAATTCTTATTCATTAAGTCAATTTTTTGTCAGTTATCTGATATATCTATTAGATTCATTATTGTCTTATACACACAATAATGGTGTACCTACGTTTTTTGCAAAATAAGTGCTTGGGTTGCAAACCTTAATAAATAAAAATAAAACAATTATCAGCGCAACCAACAGGATATCCTGCTGATAGTAGCGGTGCAGAATGAAACATGAGCAAATTATGAATATTTTGTCGAACAATAAATGTAGAATATTACAAGTGTGTATCAAATACAAAATTCCATATTGGGTACATCATGTAATCTCAAGTGTAAAATATAAAATACTTTTAAATAACAATTAACACGTAACAGAACGTGCTAAACATCATCAATGAAATTTCTATTTTCTGCTATGCTAGTTGGTATACATTAAATAAAACCATTTTAACGGTTTAAAACAGGTAATATATTGATTGGTTTAGTCATTTTAAACTACGACCCGACGTTTTCTTGCCTTCCATTAGACACTTGGGTTGTAAAAAGTGAATTTTCATTTCAAACCGATATATGTGTTTTATATAATACAGAAAGTATGTTTACAGAGGTTTCTACGTTAACACAATATAAAGCCTATAGAATTGGAGTGTATAGGTTTAGGTATATAATACGGATATATTTATATGTCGATGCAGACTTTACACCTCGAGTCGATTCGGGTAAATGCAAAGTAAGATTTTATGTCTGTTAGAGGTCAGTGCAATATTTCTGTGTAAATCGGCCGATGCACAATTCGTTAGTGTGCGTGCGAGCCAGACGCGGCGCAGCCTCCGTGCGTCTGCGGCCTGTCTAGACGACCCCTCCGCCCCGCGCAACCAAACCCGCCCCTCTTAACCACGGTCACCTCCCTCGACCGTTCTTTTTCACCATGGACTGACACCGACTTAAGGTGCTACTGTGCGTGTATCTACTCTTTGCATTAACACAGTACATCCCCAAATTCTACAATCAAAATCGATTATCAACAGCAATTTCTTATATTATATAGTAAGATATTAATTATTAATAAACTAATGATAATTTATAGCTTAAGATATTTTGTAAGATTTTATATTTCAACATTTGTTTCTAAGTTCAGTGTTAAATTGGGTACCCCCTTATCCTGATATTAAAATTTTAGTTAATTAATTTATAGCTGATAAGTTTATTTACTTTGACTCAAAACCGTGATTTTCATGCGTTTTTTACAGTTTTAATTTTTTCGCGCTGCTGTGTTAGTAAGTCAATTTTTTATCGTTGAACTGCCATTAAAGGTGTAAACTGTGGTTCAGTAGTTAACCATTAAAAGATAACTTGAAACTGGAAAAGTGTTAATTATTAAATCGTATAGAAGACAGACGGGTTAACATCCACTAGACATGCGTCATTAACAAATAATTAAGGATTCAATTATGACGCATGTCTTTATAATTCTAATCTAATATTAATTATTACAACTAAGAAAAGGGAAAAATAATTAAAAAATACGTCGCACGAGAGTAATTTATTTCTAAATTACGTCACGTATGGAGGCTTTTGTGTTCTGCGAGCAAATATGTGAAAGCTATCTTTGACTTCCTGGAAACGCTGTCTAGACATATAGACTGTAGTCATAGTCTAGATACGCGACTGACCAAAACTAGCCGCTCACCCGCTGATCTTAAAAGTGGTGCTTATGGTAATAATTCATTCGCTTAGTGTTATAATACTGGACTTGCCAAACATACGTATACATGTATACGTATGTTTTGCAAATCCAATCCATTGAACTTTCCATGTTTTTAGTATTGTTATATGTTATAATAGTATATATGACATTTAAATGAAACACTTCAACGGTTTAAAACGCGATATACATTAGTTAAACTTATTTGAAAATAATTTTAACTACGGCCCGACGTTTCGGATGCTTTGCAGCCGTGGTTACGGGGAAACTAAAGATGGAGGGCGTCTTTGTCGTCAAATCAAAAGTGAGATTGTCGAAACTCACAATTTATATGTAATATGAACATCTCACTATGCCCGCGCAGTAAAAATTGCAAAACACGCAATGAATAACTTTTTCATGTTAACATTATATGAATAGCATTTGTTTTTTAATAAAGTCATATATAACATAGTCAGTCTTCATCTCTTGCTAAGTGATACTACTACGGAGTCCTAATATGGTAGCTCAATTGGTTAGAGCAACAGCACGGACCGCTGTGGATGACGATTCAAGTCCTGCCCGAGTCGTAATTTTTGTTTAATTTAAAATCGATCTTTCATTTATGTAATGCCATCATGTGAAAAATATTAAATGTTTTCAAAGTATATGATGTTTAATTATTGTGTGTTGTCGTTTTAAATATTGCGTTATAAAAGCGTGTGCAAGCAGCGTGCAACGTGCATAAGGTAACTAGTAACAAGCATGCCATGGCCGCGGTCATATTAAAAATTCGTCTGCGCTGTGTCTAGACATAACTCGTTTTGTGACGTGACACCACGAACATTTACTGCGTATTATATGACTCGCTAATTCCGCGCACATTTCTTAAAGTATCTTTGGTATATTTCCTGTTGTGTGTCACTATTGTGTAGCGAGATGGTAATTATAATTGAGAATATTTCCTGTTTACCCGCAACATCAGGAGACGTGGTTAAAATAGTCCACACAACAACACAAAACACTTTACCGGTTTAAAACGCGATATATTAGTTAAACTTACTTGGTCGTTACGGTTTTAAGTCTCCCCGTGACCACGGCTGCTGCAAAGCATCCTAAACGTCGGGCCAAAGTAAAAATCATTTTCAAATAAGCTTAACTAATATATCGCGTTTTAAACAGTTAAAGTGTTTTATTTGAATGTGTACTACTCGCATAAACTATAGACAGTATTTAGGCCCCTCTATTTTATTTACTTGTTGGTCTAATGGTACCAAAGTATGGGCAATAATCAATGAGTCGTCGTCGGGTTTGATCCCTACGGGGCCAGCATGTTTGTAATCAATTTATAATTTTCCTAAAACGTGTTGGATTTCGTCTGGATATCTAAATATTTAATTAGTTAGGTAGTAGGAATATTGAAATTCCGTCGGGGTCACAAAACGGTCCGTCGTCAGATAAAAAGGCGTCAAGTTAAATTGCGTTTCGTTTTTAGTCTGAGGTTTCCGAATATCCAAAGCCGAATAAGGTCGACAGTGGATCATTGTGATGTTATGACATCCATATATGGTTGGGGTTATTCACATTCCATCTGGTGAACCTTATGTCAAACCTCCTTTACCACAAAAAATTCATAATTAAAAACTAAATTAAGGTTAGTTTAAGATAGGATTTCTCTTGTTCATTTCAGAATCTCTTCAGATAATGCTTTCCCTAAAAGAATTAATTTGAAATCTTCAATTACCACTGTCACCACGCATTCTTACTGTCTTACTTGATTGATCGCTTGGCAATGCGTAACCATTATGACACGGAAGCTATCTCTGGACGTTCACCAAACTATTCCTTTCTGCCCATCCTTATACTTTTCCTTAAAAGAAAACGGGAAGAAATCGGAGTTCTCAGAATCAAAAATTCCATGTCACGTGTCGTCGACAATGTTAGCGTGGAATGTAAAGGTCTATATATCACCTACGGCGCCCTTCTTTCAGATATGGGGACTGTTAAGGGCTAACGATGATGAAGGCCATTGCATGATACCTTGGTTTTTTGGCAGTTCTTCGTTTCGTTCTACGCCCTTCATTTAAGAACTGGTAGTTAATATAAATGTACAGTCTTGAGTTTTTAAACGAGTGTACCTAGTATCTACGTGAATAAATGGTTTTGACTTTGAAAAGCATTCAGCAGCATGGCTGAGACGGGTATTGATTGCCATTTCTTATCAATTTATTTTGTATAACGCAATTTAATGCCTATAGTTTACTAACTGTAAAAGGGCAATAAGGAGTTTTGAATTTTAATTTAATATCAAACTAGAGTCACTGGGAAATTATTTCATGGTTTCACTGAATAAAAACTCGAGTTTTCAGAGGCTGAACAAATATAGGCCACCTCCCCATATACAGAACAAAGGAGATACTAAAGCTACTCGTTGGGAGTAGTTGCAACAAATATCCTGTGAAATCTGCCTCATCTAAGTAAGGAGTATCAAACTCGTTCCCGGTCGTTTCCTGACTATCCAGTCGTTCGGAGTCGGTTTCATATGTTATAGTTACGAAGTGTCTGGCAGGTGGTACGTATGTAGGGTTAGCGGCTGCGGGCGGTGCACCTTGTGGCAGAACTGGTCGCGAGGGATGGTGCGGGGGTGCGAGGGGGTGAGGGGAGGGCGATGAGCGAGGCTCATCGACCTCACGATCGTGCTGCGATCGGCGCCCGCGCCACGCAAAAAAGTGCCTAACCCAAATTTCGGTAGCTGGCACAATACCTCTGTTTCTGATCATGGACACGTTCGCTAATGTAATCCACACGCGATATGGATCTTATCCTCCTAATGAGCTGAATGCGCCCCAAAACTGCGTCATGATTCATTAATAACAATAAAATATTTAATCGATGTAGGACATGTATATGAGTCAGTAGCGGGTTTTACTGTTTATTCAGACGAATATTACAAAAATAAGAGCTTGGTCTTTCTTTTACCTAAGAGGTAACTACTATAACTATGTTTTTTTTCTATGGAATAAAGTTTCCATGGTCTAGAGATCTGAATGAAACATCATTATTACTCAGAGGAAAATTAAAATTAAAGGGTAAGACCAACGTTACCTATTAACACAATTATACATATAATCAACGTTTTACGTTAATTGTGAATGCCGATTTCAATTGGAAAATTAGGACTAGATTTTTTACTGTAAAAATAAAAAAAATATTTATTATAAACCGGCATATTACTATTAACACTGGAAACATATTTAATAATGCCATTATCTTGCTATACCAATGGTTAATAATGTGTAGACCTTTTCATACACTTATGTTCTTATATACGAACCTGCCTTAAATTTTAACATAACCGTAATTAATATTTGTAAGTGAGTACTTTAAATAAAAAACAAACTTAAACTTCGAACGGTTTAAAATGGGAAACATATTGCTTATTACTTGTCACCCGAGGATTTTGATGTTCTGTAGTAGGCTGCTGTAGTCTGTGTGATATATTTAAAAGTGTCATAATATGTAGCTTGTTGATGTTTGAATTTGTTGAAAAGTTATAAAAAAGAATTCTCTCATGTCCTGTGTTAGAGTTATGTGAGCATGCACACTATGGTCTAGGTCTGGGATAAAATGGTTAGCCTTGAACTCGGATTGAACCGGCTGTTGCTTTTGAACTCGCATGAAATAAATAGGTAATAATATAACAGTGTGTCCATTATGCCAGTGGAGCCGACTCGAGTCTAGACTAGCAGACAGGCGCGCTAGGCGGGACGACGGCCTAGACACACGTTTGCTAAACGGCCTTCGTCTCTCATTATATTAATCCAGTGATATCGTAATAACATTGTATTCGAGATAACTATTGCGATTCAGTCAAATTTTATTTTCATTCGCCATATCTATACTTAGAGATAAAAATTTTAGTTGTTTAAATTAAACATTTTATTTATTTATTATTTATTTACACTTTATTGCACAAAAAAAAAAAATATATAAACTTATGGAGTGCAATGGGCAGCCTTATCGCTAACGAGCGATCTCTTCCAGGCAACCCAAGATGAAAGAGGAAAAAGTATACGAGAAAATGATGTGCAAGGTGGGCGAAACAAAAATTTTACGGTTTAAAACGCGATATAGGTATATTAGTTAAACTTATTTGGAGATTATTTTAACTACGGCCCGACGTTTCGGATGTTTTGCAGCCATGGTCACTGTCATGGTCATTAGAGACTAAAGATGGAGGGTGCCTCTAATGTCAAAGTAAAAACTGCTACGCTACCGCCATCTGTTCCATTTGGTTGGTGTGTGGCGAAACGGGAGCACTGCATATTTCCTATTATAATACATATATCCATGTTACCTTCATACAGAAAAACTGCCTATGTTCATGACAGAGGAAGATATAATAAGCCAACTCGTTGATAGATTCCAGTCCTGCATTGTGAAAGTTAGTTTAGATATTTGGAGTAAAATAATTTTTTTAATAACTTTCTTTAGCGTCAAAGATATGAAATAACAATTAAAAAGGACATGGAAATAACAACAATTTACAGACAAACAATGTCTAGAGTCTAGACGTTGTTTAGCACGCCAATTAGTGTTTAGTAGCGTGGTGAGCTGGTTAATACTATAACTAATCGAATTCATCACACCATTCATATAAATACAATATTGCCTTTGATAGACCTCAATTAAAAACCAGTTGAAGTCTTTTTATTCCTCGATGGCCTCGAAAAAGAAAGGATTGTGATTTTATAAATTGTGTAAGGCTTTCATTGTTTTTCGAGCTGTTTCGTCCGACGTTAGTTAGAAAAGGTTCTCGGCGTTTTGCCATGACGAACTAACAACATCCCGATGATGCCGTCCGCTTTTGTCAGACTAAGGTCCTCAAAAGTCAAAAATGATTTATTCATGTAGGTATACTTATGAACTTCACGCCAAAACCGACAGGCTTTAAATTTACATTTTATACTTTATAAATCAATGGCGTAGAACGAACGAGAAGAACTGGCAAGAAACTCGCCACACCTCCTTTTATTTTACTTCACTACTTTCCTAGCTCGAAAGGTAGTGAATCAATTTTATCAGTAAAGGTGTTAAAAGATAGAATATTATCGCATAGGCATTCAATTATACGAAATTTTGATCGATTTGGAAATTATGGAAGAGTCAATACGCAAAAAGAACGTAATGAACAAGATGGTGATGTCATGGTGATATGTGAAATCCCATTTCCGATTTAACGTCCGTTTAGTATGGGCCTGATGACGTTTCACTGATCTAGATTAATTTTTGACTTCTATTCTCGCTCATATTCATACATTTGTATTAAACATATGTACATCTTTGAAAAATATATATATTTATAAAATGATCTATTACAAATAAAAGGCAGTATATTGTACGGAATTTCTCTTATAACATGACATATGACAGATTTATAGCAAAGTAGATTTAAATAAAATACTTTAACGGCTTAAAACGCGACGTATATTAGTTAAACTTATTTGGGAATTATTACACAATCTCCATGTGACCACGGCTGCTGCAAAGCATCCGAAACGGGCCGTAGTTAAAAATAATTTTCATCTAAGTTTAACTAATATACATCGCGTTTAAAACCGTTAAAGTGTTTTTTTAAAGTGTACGATTCGCGCAAACTATGTATCGTATCGGATCTCCCCGTGACCACGGCAGCAAAGCATCCGAAACGTCGGGCCGTAGTAAAAATATTTTTCAAAAATTTTTACCCATATATTAGCTAATCACATTTTAAACCGTTAAAGTGTTTAATTTAAAAGCAGCATATTTCAACAAAATGAGAAATTATTTTGCAATAATCTGGTCGTCGTTGAAATGCATACGTGTCTCTCTGTGTGACCTACCTGGTGGCGATGCGTTCGAGGCTTTATATTGCAGCATTACCGTTTCAAAAGATAAGCCAGAGTGCATAAGGCGCGCGGGGAAGCGGGACGGCGGCGGCCCGTCTAGACACTACGTCACGCGGCCTCGCGATATCGCGTCTGTAAACAAGAGTGTGCACTGACCGAATATGGCACTGGGAGCGCCCAAAGCGGTCATCCTGTACCGCGGGGCTCTGCTATCGGCCCAACGCAACAGCCCTTCGACGTTCAACAAGGCCGGCCAACGAATATCATTAATAATTACAAAATGAAACAATTTTGAAAACGTTAATATTTTGCACATGATGGCACTATATATAAATTAAAAATCGATTATAATTTGAAAAAAGTTACGGGCAGGACTGCAACATCCACAGCGTTCTGTGCTGTTGCTCTAACCAATTCAAACGATCATTCTACACCAGATACACTAAGTCTGTTCGGTTGTATTAACGAATATTTACACGTATTACAGGATTACCAATAAATACGACTAGGTATAGTACATATCTAAATTTGTAAAGATATGAACGTGTAGTCATAATGACTGCGTACTTGGTTCATTAGTAAGTGTAAGATTATTTATTAAATTTATTTAAATATAACACTAACGAAATAAAACGCGATATATATCAGTTAAACTTATTTGAAAATTAGTACCGAAGTTACGCCGTTACAAATAAGTTTTTCTAATATATATCGCGTTTTAAGCCGTTTAAGTGTTTTATTTAAATGTGTACTACGCGTAAACTACAGACAGTATTGAATTTATGTCATTAATCAATTAAATAACATTACATTAATTTATATGTAATCGTCACAAGTATGAATAAAATGATGTCAACTGTAAATTCAATCCAATGTTGCACTTAGTCATAGGAATTTGTTCACGAAACCGAGATCAAAGGAAAAACGTCTCAGTGCTATACACTGTGTTGAATGAACATAATATACACGGTTCAATGAATGTATGAACACGTAACACGTTAGTAACACATTATATAATTAATTTCATTGACTGTTTTCAACATTGATTCGGTGAACACATCAGTTCCCCTTAATTAGTCTAACGTGAGAATTGCCCACTGGGTGTTTCGACTACTTAGTAATTATCAAATACTAGTTGTATCAGCGACTTCGTTCGCGTAGAGTAGTTTTTTCGGCCATCCAAATACGTTTTTACAAACCTCCTCGTCTGTATAAATTATAGATAGCTATTACCAACAACGTCGTCCGCGTCCCGTCGTTTTTGCAAGTTATTCTTAAAAGATAGACATGTACTGTCGCGGACATTTTTTAGATCATTTAAAGAGGATTTGCTCTTTTGTAGATATTTTTTGGGTGTCTTCAACCATTTTCGCAGCGTACGCTACGGAAACCCACAGAAATGAATAATTTTTCCTGTTTCTTACACATTTCACGTTGTTTCTTCGCTCCCATTAGTCATAACGCGATGATGTATAGCATTCCTCGATAAGTGCTCTCACCAACACAAAAACAATTTTTAAATTTCCACCAGCAGTTTCTGATATTAGCGGGTTCAAACAAACAAACAAACTCTTCAGCTTTATATATTAGTATAGCTAGTATACCTATTAGTTATTAGTAAAATTCGAAAGATGAGTTTGATTTCCCTCTAAATTAACTGTGTTATTTTTCGTTATAATATGTGTAGATTGTAGACCCTCCTTATAAAAGGGTATAAATATTATAATTATTGTTTTTCCACTTTTCTCTTATATAAATAAATAAATACATATTATGTATAATATAACACCCAGATCGTTTCGTTCTGGATATATTTAATTAAAGCTACATAATCAAATTAAAACAGATGAAGTAAGCAAGCTTGGTGAGTGGAATGCAAGGTTAAAATTGTG